ATGGACTCAGCCTATGCTTCCAGACTTCTTTCTCCTCTACATAAAGCCCTCTCTTTCCTGTGTAGCTCTTTCACTGAAGAAATGCTGAAAACTTATCATGTCACCTGGTTTATTTGATCCGATATTCAGAATTCTTATTCAGAATTCCCATTGTGGTGGGGTTGGGTGGTAATATCTTTCAGAGCTGTTGGCCCTTAAGAGGGATTCATGGTTTTCTCACGGTAATGAATTCTTACTTTAATAGGACTGGATTGATTACTACAAGGAGGTTTGTTATAAGGTAAGCCTGATACCTCTCCTCCTTGTATTTTTGAAAATACCTCCTTCCCCCTCCATATGTTTCTGTCCTGTGTTGCAGTGTTCCTTTGCTGACACTATTCCATTTAGACCTGTTAGCCACCAGAAATGTGATCCAGATAAGCTTCTTTTTCATATATTTCCAAGCCTCAGGTATTCTGTTACCACAACACAACACAGTCAATATACTGAGAAAATATTATCAATATTTTAAAAGAGATATTTGCATTCCTATGTTCACTGCAATGTTATTCACAGTAGCCAAGATATGAACTTTAGTATCTTTTGACAGATGAATAGATTTTTAGAAATTGGATAAACACAGACATGATGGAGTATTATTCAGCCTTAGAAAATAAGGAATTTGTGCCATTTACACCAATGTGGATGAATCTGGAGATCATTTGGCTAAGTGAAATAAGCCAAACACAGAACAAAACAAAGTATGGGTACAACGTTACAAACCTGTACATATAAGAGGAACAAGAGAACTAGTGAGAAACATGGTGGCTAGAATTAATGATAATGTATTGTATTCTTTACCTAAGAGAGTGAATACTAAGTTTTCTCAATGCCTAATCACATATACACATAGAGAAATACAAAGTAAATTTGTGAGTTAGTGGATATGTCAATTAACTTATTTATGGAAATCATTTGACAACACATTCATTTATAAAAACATCGCATTGTGTCTGATGCAGCAGCTCACTAGGATAACACTCCTCCTGTGGTGCCGGCACCCAGGGTTCGGGTCCTGGTTGGGGCATAGGATTCTGTCCCTGTTGCTCCTCTTCCAGTCCAGCTCTCTGTTGTGTCCCAGGAAGGCAGTGGAGGATGGCGCAAGTCCTTGGGCCCTGCACCCACATGGGAGACCAGGAGGAAGCACCTGGCTCCTGGTTTCAGATTGGCGCAGTGCGCCGGCCATAACGGCCATTTTGGGGGGTGAACCAATGGAAGGAAGACCTTTCTCTTTCTCCCTCTCTCTCTCACTGTCTAACTCTGCCTATCAAAACAATCACATTGTATATATTAAATATATAAAATTTTTGTCAGTTAAATCTGAATAAAGCCAAAATTCATCTAATTTAAGTGATTTTTGAGTGTTAGGGAGTATAAGATGAAAGTAATTATGAACTCAAGGATATCAGTGTATAGATAAAAAATTTAAATGTTGATAGCAATGTATATTATAATATTTCAAAAAACTGAAGAAAGAAAACCATATAGTAAAAGCTGCTAGAGTGAGAGAGGACCAACAGTTCCTAAATGGAAGATCAAAATAATATTAGCAAGTGAGTATAAGATAGTGGATAGGAAGTGGATTTACATCCCAACTATATATTTACTAAGTATTTTGAGATAAGCTAATTAACATTTTTTATATTAATTTTATTTGTCATTAAGAAAAGTAGTACTTTTTCATAAAAGACTTTAACACAGAATTCAATACCTACAAAGTGCTAAATTAATGTTAGCTCTTCTTAAAAAATGATTAACAGTAGCATTACAAGTTTGAATATAATAAAACAATATCTTTAAAATCCTGATGATCCAAGTTAGAATTTTGTAGCTAGCCAAATTATCAGCTATTATTTGTGGCAAATAATAGACATGTACTAAATGTAAAACACTTTAAGTGGATCTCACTCCCATCTATCTTCTTTCCTCAAATTGAGAAAGTAAACCAATAAAGGGGAAAATAAGTTCCTCTCCAATACAAAAGAGAGGCTAAGGACATTCTTAATACATTAAAAAAAATTTTCCCTGGACAACTAGGCTCCAGCAGCAAAAGTGGACCCAATTAATATTTAATCAAGACAACAGTGAACTTTGTGAGAAAGGTCTTTAAAATAAATACAATAACATTGATGCATTATCTGACAGTTTAGGCCATGAGAAAATAATTTTCTAGAGCTGTGGAAAGCTTGGAAAGACTTAAACAGAGATTTGAAGATGCAGAGCCAATGAAATTTAAATTATGAAAAAAACAGTTGTCTAATATTGTCCAGGAAAAACTATTGCCTAACAAAAGCAATAAAATAATTGGTATGATACTGGGTTCAGGGAGAAAAATGTTAATATAATATAATACTGAAAATAGTAAATTTAGATTCAGCTTATAAAAACACATTGGGAAGAGAGGTAACAGATATATTAGAATACTAAATGATAATATTCTAAATTTAAAAGTCAACTCATAATATCTTCAGAAAGAAGCAGAGGGGAAGGAGAGAAATACATTTTCATAATTGTTATTTCCTGGAGAAATCATCATTTTGAACTTTTCACTTACATATAAATATCAAAGGGCACCAATGAACTAGAGTTCCAAAGATAGTGCTAAATTTAAACTTTCAGAGAAATTAACTATTCAGTGCATTTGGAACTCTAATTCTTTTATAATTAAAAACATACATATATACTGCATTGCATATAAGTCCAAGGGATTCTACAAATGTTTTCAGTTTGTTTTATGGCATTTTTATGTTTTTTTCTTTTTAAAAATACATCTTTTTCCAAAGCAAAGTTTTTTTCCTGGTCTAAGCATTTCTGAACCCACAAGCAGATTATTTGCCTATTGTAAAATCCACCTCAGGTCAACCCTAGGCAGCCTTGTTGTATTCTCCTCATGGTGTCAGATTCATATTTTTGAAAATACTGAGTATCTGTGTCCCACTACATCTTGGGGATCAGGAAATGTATGTGTTTCATGGCATGACCAAGAGGATGGGCAATGTTGGATTTTACTAATGAGTTGCCGATCTAAAGTATGGCATGTTGAAGAAATAGACACTCCTAACGAAGGGCAGACTTGTTGGTGGGCTTAACTGTTAGGATGAGTGTGTCCAGGATGATACTATGTACTAAGTGTCCATTCTGTGCTTTCACTTGGAATGTGGGGGGAAATGAAGTTTACTGTCATGGAGTTCTTGCCTTTTATTTTTAACTGTAATTTCTTCCAGCATTCAATATGATTGAAACATAGACGAGGAGCAGGGCAGAATGAGGCAAATGTGCCACTGTAAATTATGGGAAAATAACAAGCTGAAAAGAGAGTGGTATCCCACCAAAGTGCCAGTGACAGTAACAGTGGGTATCTATACTTGTGTCCATTCAATGGTAGATGTGAGATAAATGTTATTTTTCTATATGTACCAGAGGAAGTTGATGCTGATATTTGGAGATGATGTACTGAAATTCTTTCTTCAAACATTTTTTTTTTTATTTGACAGAAAGAGTTAGACAGTGAGAGCAAGAGAAAGACAGAGAGAAAGGTCTTCCTTCCGTTGGTTCACCCTCCAAATGGCTGCTACGGCTGGTGCACTGTGCCAATCCGAAGCTAGGAGCCAGGTGCTTCTCCTGGTCTCCCATGGGGTGCAGGGCCCAAGCACTTGGGCCATCCTCCACTGCACTCCCTGGCCACAGCAGAGAGCTGGCCTGGAAGAGGGGCAACCGGGACAGAATCTGGCGCCCTGACCGGGACTAGAACCTGGTGTGCCAGCGCCGCTTGGCAGAGGATTAGCCTAGTGAGCCGCGGCGCCGGCCAAATGAAAGATCTTAAATAAAGATAAATGTTTAAATAAAAGTTCTCAAGAAAGAAAATATTTCAGTTGTTTAGAAATAGTTTTTCAAAGTTTATTTTTGCATTAGTATTATTTCAGGTTATCTATTTTAATAAACATTATGATAATTTGAGACAAACTCATAGGAGAAAAAACTATTATTGGGAAAGATAAATGTTCATAATTACTCAAATATCTATTTAGATGTAGGAATAGGTTCTTAACACCTAGCATGCTTTCTGATACATAACAGCCTTTCAACAAAAATTTATTAAATGAATTGATAAGTAATTAAAAACATTATTATTAATTAGGTGCTATTATGCAACTTCTGGAGAACAACCTTCATGCAAATTGGTATAACTAGGTAGTGCTAGAATATTGACAATTGTAAAAGAAGAATCCATTTTTTTCACACTGGTAAAGTGAGGAATTAGGGGGTGGCACTGTAGCACAGTGGGTTAAAGCCCCAGCCTGCATTGCTGTCATCCCATATGGGCACCGGTTCTAGTCCTGGCTGCTCCTCTTCCGATCCAGCTCTCTGCTATGGCCTGGGAAAGCAGAAGATGGCCCAACTTCTTGGGCCCCTGCACCCATGTGAAAGACCTGGAAGAAGCTCCTGGCTCCTGACTGGATCAGCTCAGCTCTGGCCGTTGCAGTCATTTGGGGAGTGAACCAGCAGATGGAAGACCTCTCTCTCTGGCTTTACCTCTCTCTTTAACTCTGTCTTTCAAATAAATAAAAAATAATAATAAAGAAATGAAAAAAATAAATAAATAAAGTGAGGGCTTAAATGTGATAAATGCTTAGATTTGAATTCAATTTCTGTTACCTTTTGTAGTTAATTAATTTATTTCTCTGCCCTTTCATGTTCTTGCCTAATAATCATAGATTATACAATAGTTCTCTTTTATCTTCGGTGAATACATTACAAGACCCATGATGGGTTCTATATGTATTACGTTTTTTCTTATATAAAAATACTTATGATAAGCTTTAATGTATAAAATAGATGAAGTAAGAGATAATCAGCTAATGATAAAATAGAACAAAATAGAACAATTATGACAGTACAGTGTAATGAAAGTTTGAATATTGTGTCTTTCTCAAAATATATTATTGTACTCACCACTTTAGTAATGAAAACAAATGGTACAATGTCTACACAGTGGGATGAAATGAAAAAGCATGACAAGCACTGTGAATACAAGCAACGTGTCAGGACAACAGGCAAGCTGATAACTAAGATGGCTATGTGGCAGATGGGGTGAGTATTGTATATAGCTGGATACCCTGGACAATCACATCTCAGCAGGGATAGAGCTGAACAATGTGTTATCTCAACAGGCTAATCAGAATGCTGCATAGTTTAAATTATAAATTATAAATTATTTTTGCAAATTTCCATTTTATATTTTTATTTTGTTTTTATATTTTGTATATTATTTGTTTTTCATGGATAACTAAAACCATGAAAATAAACTGCAGTTAGGTATTGAACTGCTATCATTAACTCATGCAGAGGTTGTAGAAATGGAGTAATATAGAGGACACAGTCCCTACTCTGATGAATTGCTACCTCTACCTATTAGTCCAAGAAAATCTCATTTTGATTAGAAAAAAAGTAAGCAAATTGGGTAATTATACATATTGAGAATATATTGAGATACATATGAGACTTTTCAACACGATTAATTCAAATGGTATTTTCCCCTAAATGTTTCTAAGTTTCAGATTTTATAAATATATTTACATATATTAAATTAAAATATATATAAATAAAAACAAGCTTTACACACTAATTTGGTAATTATATTATTATGTTGACTTTGAACTATAATTTGAATGAATAATAAATTGCAATAATAATCACTCTTCTTATCTAAACACAAAAGTAGAGGGCCTATGAGTGGGTTCTGTTAATTTAGATATTCAAAGAAAATATAAATTTAAAATATTTTACAATTAAGTATTTTGAGTATTTATCATTTGAGTAAATAAAAAAAATTTATAGCTTGCCTAAGTAATTATTGTAAAACCAATGGAGGGATAGACACTGAATGAAAATTCAGAGGTACAAATTACACTTCTAGCTCTGACACTAACTGGCCACATCCTCCTGGGAAATCATTTCCCTCTCCATGGCTCAAATTGCTGGACGAGAGGCTGTCTAAGGTGCCTTAATGTGGTCTGCCTTCAAGAGTATCCACTTTTTGGCTAAGGAATAAATCTCAAACCCATAGAAGTTGAGTAATAAGATAAATAGTTACAAGAAGGTGGAAATTTATTATTTAGCATCTGGAATCTGAATGTTCTCACAAACAAAAATGCTCTTCTTGGAAAAGATATCTTGAAAAGCCATGACAGTTATATAGACTATAAAATATAAGAGTAAGCATGTTTTTTTCATATCTGTACTAAAGGAGAGAATTTTTTTCTAGGAAAGGAAATTTGAAAAGGGACTAAAGTAGGAAGTGAGTTGCTTGGAAATGCTAGTGCAACATTTTGAGTTGACTATGAGGATATAAACCTATTCTGTATCTGCAACTCATTAATAGGGATTCTGATTTCCTAAGCTCATTTTGGAGTTGAGAATTTAAGAGTTATATACTCTCAAGGGGCAAGTATGAAGTCAATGGCTTATGGAATACATCTTGGTGGCCTATAGGTGGTCATGTGAAATAAGGCCTGCATCTTGAATTAAGTCACCCAGTGCTGTGGCACAACAGGTTAACCCGCTGGCCTGAAGTGCTGGCATCCCACATGGGTGCCGATTCGAGACCTGGCTGCTCCACTTCCAATCCAGCTCTCTGGTATGGCCTGGGAAAGCAGTAGAAGATGGCCCAAATCCTTGGGCCCCTGCACCTGTGTGGGAGACTCAGAAGAAGCTCCTGGCTCCTGACTTCGGATAGACGCAGCTCCGGCCATTATGACCAATTGGGGAGTGAACCACTGGATGGAAGGCCTCTCTCTTTCTCTCTCTGCCTCTACTCTCTCTGTGTAACTCTAACTTTCAAATAAATAAGTAAGTCTTTAAAAAAAATTACCATTCTCAGAGCAACTATTAACAAAGTGTTATACATATGGAACAGGGTAGGAGATGTGGGTTAATCCTTATAAAGTATGTGATACTGATATAAATATTGTTGATGCTATTTTTCATATTTGATATTTATCCAGCATTATAGGTAAGGAAAGGTCTTAGAAGTTGAGATGTGAAGGTTAGATAATTGGAAGATAGTTCTTATAAGACAGTTGTTTTTAAAAGCTCGAGAGTTAGGCCCAGCTGTTTCCTATCTACTTCCAGGCTTGCCATGTGTTCTACACATGCTTGGAGCCTTCCTCGATCTTAGTCTGTGAATCTCCAAAACTGTGATTCCAACTGAAACTCCCTTCTTCATAAATGGTTTGCTTATATATTTGTTATAACTTTCAAGACAGTTTACTGATATTTGATTGCTTCAATTTCTGTTACTAATTGCATAAAAATATTAATTAGATGGAGTACTGCCAAGATTCTCTGTCATGTATTTGGTAATCCATGAGCAGGAAGTAGAAAAGGCCACTTTATGCTTGTTTGTTCTGGTGAGACTTTATTTCCTATGTATTTACCATATCTGTGACTTAATAAGGGTAATAGCAAGGAATAATCATTGCAAAAAGAAGAAAACCTTGCGTTTTTAGTTTGTTTTAGCAAGAAAGGCAATGTTGATGAAGCTGAGAAGGTAGTCATGATATTGTTAGTAAAAAAATGGAAAGATGTACAACAGACCATGCTATAGGATAGAAAATAGGTAATGATTGCAAACTAATTCAGGAACTTCTGATAAATGAAATATAGATGATGAAGAAGAAGAAGGAAAATAATTAACAGAATAAAGATGATAATTTATTCACAGTTGAACCCAGGATTTTTCAGGTAGTGATAGTTATCAGAGGGGAGTTTGACATATAGATTTATACTTCTTAAGGAAATCTTTAAGTGTATAAACTTACACTCATGCATTTAAAAATATTTATTCAAAATAAAATTGAAAGAAAGATTTTTATGGTGCAAAAAATTTGAAATCTATGTTTGTGAGAGATCGTAAAACACATTGAAAATACGTATCATGAAAAACTAAGCATGGATTTTGGAATTTTTTTTTTTTGACAGGCAGAGTGGACAGTGAGAGAGAGAGAGACAGAGAGAAAGGTCTTCCTTTGCCGTTGGTTCACCCTCCAATGGCCGCCACAGCCAGCGTGCTGCGGCCAGCGCATGGCGCTGATCCGATGGCAGGAGCCAGGTGCTTTTCCTGGTCTCCCATGGGGTGCAGGGCCCAAGCACTTGGGCCATCCTCCACTGCACTCCTGGGCCACAGCAGAGAGCTGGCCTGGAAGAGGGGCAACAGGGACAGAATCTGGCGCTCCGACCCGGACTAGAACCCGGTGTGCCGGCGCCGCAAGGTGGAGGATTAGCCTAGTGAGCCGCGGCGCCGGCCCAAGGATTTTGGAATTTTTTACACTAAAATAAACTTATTTATTAAAGAGGAATGGAGGGAGGAAGGGAGAGAGACAGAGAGAGCTCTTAGCCAGTGCTTCACTCTCCTAGTGTCTGTAACAACCAAGACGGGTCCAGGTCAAAGATGGGAACCGGAATCTTGCTCTAGATCTTTCACTGGAGGGCAGGAACCCATTCAGTTTCACCATCATCTGCTGTCTTCCAGAGTCAGGAAGCCAGAGTCTGGAACCAGCACCAGGCATCAAAATCAGGCACTCCCACATAGGATGTTAAACCAATCACCCGTTGCAGATTTGTCTTTTAATTTCATTTTCACATTAACTTTTTGAAGTACTCTCTTATTTATAGAGTAAAAAAAAAAGAAGGAAAGACTATAAGGATGGAAATGGAGCAGGAAAGGGGATATGAACTGGCTATAAAGATTAGAACTTCAGGGTAACAAAAACAAAGGCACTAAATTGAGGGGAAGTGCTCATAGAATTCACTGAACAAGGATGAATAAAGGAACTGATTACTTTGCTTTCAGAGGTCTTGGCAATCTCAGTAAGTAGAATCAGAAGCCTCCTACATGAGTATCAGATGAGGCAGATAAACAGTTTCATAACCATGTTTCAAAATCTGAATCTTCAATTCAATCAGAATATAGAAGTAATTTAAAAGTTTTTACAGGCAATATGAGCTCTATAAAAGAAATATATGCTTATAAGATTAGTAGTACATTGAAAATAATATAGTGTGTTAAAGATTTTAATTTAATTTATAAATTTTGGATAGTTTGTGTTTTCACAGTACTGTGGTATTTTAGATTTTTAAGCCTTATAGAATTGCTAACGGAATTGAAATAGATGGCTTAGGTTCTTTGATTTCCATTTAAATGCTCAACAAACTGTCACAAGGAAGTAGTTTTCCATGGTTTATAACAACTTTAAGAGATTTGCAGCTGTGCTACGAATATATCTAATCATACTAAATATGACTTTCAAAATTACTTTTTGCTATTACCTGGAAAGTTAGTGAAGAAGGAAGTGGTTTGTTTGCACAGATATAAGATGCTAATATAGATGTGAACATTTGATATATTCAAATATGTGTGTTTGTTGTATTCAAATAATGTTCTAAAACTAGAAAACTATAGCAGCTATCTATTAAGACTCAGACTTAATTTAAAATAAGGAAGAGTTGAGTTTCAGATCTTATTTTTTAATATAGAGCCAAATATTTTTAAGTGGCAAAGGTTACTTACAGTTCTCAATCTACTGAATTTTAGATGACTTTATGTTAATATTTGTTTAAAAGTTAATTATAGCAAATGGAGTCAGAATCTAGAATCACTGTGTCAGAACAGAAAATTACTTTGGCCATCATTTTTTTTTTTTTTGACAGGCAGAGTGGACAGTGAGAGAGAGAGACAGAGAGAAAGGTCTTCCTTTGCCTTTGGTTCACCCTCCAATGGCCGCCGCGGCCTGCGCGCTGCTGCCTGCACACCGCACTGATCCAATGGCAGGAGCCAGGTGCTTCTCCTGGTCTCCCATGGGGTGCAGGGCCCAAGCACTTGGGCCATCCTCCACTGCACTCCCTGGCCACAGCAGAGAGCTGGCCTGGAAGAGGGGCAACCGGGGCAGATTCTGGCACCCCGACCAGGACTAGAACTCGGTGTGCCGGTGCCGCAAGGCAGAGGATTAGCCTGGTGAACCACGGCGCCGGCCGGCCATCATTATTTTTTAGCATCAAACCCCTGTTTTCAAGGGAAGAAATTATAGTTTGTAAAATTTAAAGGAAAACAAAGAACTTAATAGGGTGTGTTTAAATAAGTAAATATTTGCCTTTCAGCAGTGTTTAACCATGGGATGCAGGGGATGAGCTATAAGGGCACATGGAATATAAAATGGGGCCAAAATGTAAAAGCAAAATTGAGGCAAAGACAAAGCTGAAACACCATGGAAAAATTGCAAAATCAACAGAAGTAACTCTATTAGCTACAGGGTTATTTGTTAAGGACAGCATTGATGATTGCCAGTTCCTATTCTAAGATCACTGATTTTTGTACTATTTTAAATATCATAGGTTGAAACTTAAGGAAAACAATATACTTATTGTTATTCCTTCTGAAAATAGATATCAGAGTTTATGGCATTCAATCCCTCATATAAAGTTGCACAACTATCACTAACACTTATCAAATTAAAGAGAGGGAAAGAGAGGAATAGCTATCCCAGAACAAATTATTATAGTTATAAGTATATTAATATCTTATCCTTTAAAATTTATCTCTTTATCATTAACAGGATATTAGAACTATTTTTAATTTTTTATTCCTATAAAAGAACAGAATTTATGCATTACATAGATCTAGTTCCAAGAAGACAATCACACTTCCTTCACTCTCCTGTTCCACTAACAATCACCCATCCTCTCTCCCATCTTTTCATCAGTTTTTGAAGTCATAATTTTAATCCACACTATATTCACAAACTTAATACACCACTAGTAATAGTATTCAAGAAGTAAAAATTAGGAAGACCATAGTTCTACAGCAATATAACAAAGAATAAAAACTACAATTATATCTCAAAGTAACTGTTATGCTTATAGAAATAAGCCAGTCTCTAACCCACTGTTGGTGGGAATGCAAACTGGTAAAACCACTATGGAAGTCAGTCTGGGGATTCCTCAGAAACCTGAATATAACCCTACCATACAACCCAGCCATCCCACTCCTTGGAATTTACCCAAAGGAAATTAAACTGGCAAACAAAAAAGCTGTCTGCACCCTAATGTTTATTGCAGCTCAATTCACAATAGCTAAGACCTGGAATCAACCCAAATGCCCATCAAAAGTAGCCTGGATAAAGAAATTATGGGACATGTACTCTATAGAATTCTATACTGCAGTCAAAAACAATGAAATTTGGTCATTTGCAACAAAATGGGGTAATCTGGAAAGCATCATGCTGAGTGAATTAAGCCAGTCCCAAAGGGACAAATATCATATGTTCTCCCTGATTGGTGACAACTAACTGAGCACCAAAAAGGAAACCTGTTGAAGTAAAATGGACGCTAAGAAACAGTGGCTTCATCAGCCCTTGTCCTGACTGTTGATGTACAATTTAATACTTTATCCCTTTCAGTATTTTTTTTGTTCTACTTAATACTATTGGTTGAACTCTATAATTAACACACAATTATTCTTAGGTGTTTAAATTTAACTGAAAAGTGATCCCTGTTAAATATAAGAGTGGGAATAAGAGAGGGAGGAGAGGTACAGTTTTGGACATGCTCAATTGGACTTGCCCCAAATGGTGGAGTTAGAAACGTGCCAGGGGATTCCAATACAATCCCATTAACGTTGCATGTCCCAATGCCATCTCACTAGTCCAAGTGATCAATTTCAGTTCTCAGTTGATCATAATGATAGGTCTAAGAGTCAAAGGGATCACACAAACAAGACTAGTGTCTGCTAATACTAACTGATAGAATAAAAAAGGGAGAAAATGATCCAACATGGGAAGTGGGATACACAGCAGACTCATAGAATGGCAAATGTCCTAAACAGGACTCTGGCCTCAGAATCAGCCCTTAAGGCATTCAGATCTGGCTGAAGAGCCCATGAGAGTATTTCAGGCATGGAAAGCCAAGACACTCTGGCCAAAAAAAACCACGAAATCGAACCTAAATGAAAGCTCTCTGTGGGTGAGATCCCAGTAGAAAGAATACTGAGGCCATAAACAAGAGTGTCAGTTTGTTAAGTCAACAACAGGAGTCACTGTGTACTTACTCCTCATGTAGGATCTCTGTCCTTAATATGTTGTTCAATGTGAATTAATGCTATAACTAGTACTGAAACAGTATTTTACACTTTATGTTTTGTGTGGGTGCAAACTGTTGAAATCTTTACTTAAAATACACTAATTTGATCTTCTGTATATAAAAATAATTGAAAGTGAATCTTGATGTGAATGGAATGGGAGAGGGAGTGGGAGATGGGAGGGTTGTGGGTGGGAGGGAAGTTATGGGGGGGAAAAGCCATTGGAATCCATAAACTGTACTTTGGAAATTTATATTTACTAAATAAAGTTAAAAAAAAGGAATAAGCCAGTCTCAAAAAGATAATTATCATTTGTTTATATATAGCAGTTAATATAGAATACCAAATATGCATAGGAATGAAAGGTTATTGGAATTGGAAGCAAATTATACTTCATAGAACAGGAAAATGTTAGTTAAATAAATTGAAACCTAACTTTATGGTGACCCACTATGTATTTATTAAAAAGCATGCTTTCTGAGAATGTAATTAGTTTGGAAAAAGATTATTTTATATTAAGCAGGAAGTAGATATATAGATACAAATAGATAGATAAAATAGATTCAGAAAGGGAGAAACGAAGAAAAGCTAAAAATAATTTCCTGTGATTTATTTACTAATATTGATGTCTTTTGTTCCTATGTTTTTCAACTTTTTAGTTTCTTTCAAATGATTATATATTGTTTTTTCTTTTCTTAATTTTTAAATTTTTAAAGATTCATTTATTTTATTTGAATATCAGAGTTACACAGAGAGAGGAGCGACAGAGAGAAGGCTTCCATCTGATGGTGCACTCCCCAATTGTCCACAACAGCCAGAGATGTGCCATTCTGAAGCCGGGAACCAAGAGCCTCTTCCGGGTCTCCCACACAGGTACAGGGGCCCAAGGACTTGGATCATCTTCTACTGCTTTTCCAGGCTACAGCACAGAGCTGGATTGGAAGTAGAGCAGCTGGGTCACGAATCGGCATCCATATGGGATGCCAACACTTCAGGCCCGGGCATTAACCTGCTGTACCACAGCGCTGGCCCCTATGTATTGTTTTTTTGTATTACACTTATGGTCTAGTCAGATGACAATAGGTTCACAAGTGATTTCAGAAGAGTGCATTTAGTACGAATAGTTACCCAGGTTTTTTTCTGGGTAACTATTAAAAGATTTGAAAATGAGCTCTAAGTGTAATAGGTTTGCAAAAAAAGGAGGCTGCCATTCCATTGTCTGAAGGGAATTTGAACCTTGAAGAAACTCAACATAAGGGAGGTTTTCTCCCACCCTCCGTCTGAGAAAATGGAACAGTCACTCCTCCCATCCTCTCTGCATTATAGTGAAGAGACTTGATGCTGGTGTTCACAGTTAATGTGAGAGCTGGTTATCACTGTGGGCACATAAAAACTTTCTGGAAGCAGCTGGAATCACAAGACCAGTCCAATAACACAGGGAAAGCTGTGGGGCCCCACCACAATTCCAGCTACTTGCTCTAGGGAGGTGGTGGTGGTGTATGTGGGGAGTGGGGGGCATGGATAGGAAAAAGAAAACTCATTTCTTCCTCCTCAAGTCTTGTTCTAAGTGATTTAATGCACACAATAAATGTGGAAAAATGAAAATGGAAGAAATACATTTTATTCTGATTATAATTTCTTCTTACTGTTTTTAAAATAATTTCTTCTATTGCATCATCCAACCTATTTATACAATTACACCTAACATTATCTTGAGTTACTGTCTGGTATAGGCATCAAACTGACAACTTCATCCTGCAACATGACTATTCTCAGTCTAGTGATTAATTAATTGATGCCTGTTGGATTTGTTTAGACTTCGTTAATGTGTTTCAAAAATGCAAATTTGCCAAATCATTCAAGGTAATTTTGAAGTCATCAGTGATGTTTCACTGCTGTTAGGAAAAAGAGGCAGACCCAGAGATCAGTGCTCCAGCTCTGGACCAGATTACCGCACAATTCCCATTTCACACCCCCCTGTTAGGTTTTTGTTTCAGTCCCTTGGTTTACTTTATTTTTTGGAAAGATAATAGGTTTCTTTTTTTGCATTTGAAGATTCCATCTTTCCTTCTCCCTCTGCAGAGAGTGTTCTTCACACCCTTCCCATTCCCCTCGTCCCTTCTCTTTTTACATTAGTAAACAATTAGTTTTGTAGTTCTTTAGTTTTGGCTTTCCAGTAAATTGGATGCACCATTCACACTTAGATGCCTTGGCATTTAAAGCCTTAGCACTTAGTCACAGATTGTCCAACTGCAAGCATGCATGAGAAGGTAGTAAGCGTGAGCTGAAGAGTGATCTGCAACAGGTAAACAAGAGGAAGTCAATCTGTAGCAAACCTTTCCTGGTCCTCTTCTCCCCATTAACACTATAGCAATTTAAACATGTGAGGAAAAAAAGAATATTTTATCACTCATATGATGAAATAAACTGCCACAAAATAGTCCAGAGTTTGTTTTTTTTTTGTCAGTACCAAATCAATGTCACTAATATAGCAACATCCAACACTTAGGTTAAAATTGTTGTTTAATTCTTGAAATTTTAAATTGAAATTTATTTTCAGTTAACTTTCTACTCATAAAATTAACCTTACATTAAATAAAGAGTTCAACAAATAGTATCAAGAAAAAAAAAGAAAACACTGTTCTTCAGCAGTGGAGACCCTTCTTTAGTAAAAAGTCTGGGGTGAGGGGAATAGATCTTTGAAAAAAGTAAAGATGAGAATGGGAGAGGGAGGAGGAAGAAGGGTGGGCTTGAAGGCGGAAGGGAGGGAAAGGTAAGAAGAATCACTATGTTCCTAAATTTGTATATTTGAAATGCATGAAGTTTGTATACCCTAAATAAAAGGTTTCTAAGTTAAAAAAAATTAAGTGATTTCTAAAATTGACCTGGTGAAAAGATGCACGGGTTTTATGCACATACTGAATATACTGGTTCTTGTATAAAAGCTCAATTCATTTTCTTGCCATGCTTGACTATGACTTCCTCTACTTCTCACCTATACTTTTCAAGAAAGCATTCTCTCATAATAACTTACTGTCACCATTTCTCCCTGTAAATTATAAATATATAGCTAATATAGACACAAACATATGAGTGGGAGGGGGACTTAAGAAATCCATGGAGGGAGCGGGATTTGGTGGATTGGTTAAGATGCTTCTTGGGTTGCCTACATCTCCTATTGGAATGTCTGGATTCAAATATTAGCTCTGCTTTTGATCCTGGCTACTTGCTAAGGTGCTTCTGGGGAGTACTAAGTGATACTCAAATACTTGTGTCTGTGCTCCCCTTGTGGGAGATCCATTTGAAGTTTTTAGCCTGGCCTACCCCTGCCTATTGTAGGTATTTGGGGATGAACTCTGTCTGTCTCTGCCTTTCAGATAAAAACTAGATAAGAATTGTAGGAAAAATCTGATGGAAAAAATGGAATTAAAAAACAGGCTTATGTTAATGCAAAAGTTTTTTAAATTCCTGTGTAGTTTTTATATAGTAAGCATTTTCATGAACTTTTTGAAGAGCTTTTGTGTTTGTGTGTATGTTGTGTATAATATTTATGAAAATGTAAGCACATACACACATCACATACTTTCCCCCAAAATCCTAACATGTTTAAGTGTACTTATTACTAATCATTTAACAACTTCTTTACATAGAGTAGATTTTACTTAGGTCAAGCTTGTAATGAATATTTACTTTTTTAAGCTACTAGTGTAGGACCCCAAAAACGGTGTCCTCTTGTGACGACCCCAGAAACACAGACTCCAGACCAGACGATGCAAAAGAACAGGAGGTAATTTTATTTCATTTGTGCAAATGGGCCCTCTACTGCTGCAAGCAGCAAGCAAGCGAGAGGAGCCCCGAGCAGCTATCTCACACAGCTTTTAAGGGGCAAAACCACAAAATTAACATACCATAGGGTGGCGTAAGTTTATTGGGCAACTATAAGGGGAGGAGGTCGTCGAGGAGGAGGAGAAATGGAAGCTTGGATAAGGGGAGGGGGTCATTGAAGAGCAGAAAGGGGTGGCTACGTGCCCTACATGCCTCGCGGTTGTTTTTGTTAAGCTCGAACAAGCACAGGGGAGGGGGCTTATCTACATAGCAGGATGTTCTGTTGCCCATATCTCTGGTTAGTAGCTAACTGCTTTCTCTGTGAACCAGTTTACTCCCCATTTCCCAAGGCCGTCTCTGGAATGGTTTGTCTCAGGAGCCCCATTTTTTTTTTTTTTTTATTAAGGCTACTTTTATGGTGGCTCACAGCCGCTTCTTTCACTAGTTGATTAGAATTATGTTACATAATTCTATATGAAAGAAATATGAGTAGAAAATATGATAGCTTTGATTGCATTTTTATAACAGGATTGTTTAGGTGATAGAGGTCAGCAATATAAATGGGGAAATGAGTTAGCTAGATAGATTCTAGCATGTGAATAGCTCAAATGACTATGAGTTTCAATCTCATTATTCAACTCTGCCAATTTTGATACATTTTGTTCTGTTTTGTATAATAAAATCTTTCACAGGAAAATGACTAATAGGATATTTAAATTGTTTATTCTAAAAAAATTATTATATGTTTAATAGTAACAAAATTAATTTTATTTTGGTACTATCATTATGTGAAAAATTACTCATATTAATTTTTAATACATATTGTACTGGATATGTTTACATAATTCAATCATATAATTTAGATGACAGAATATTCTTCTATGTTTGTAAGAAATCACATATACACAAAGATGCAAGGTAAAGCACATTATTGCATTGTTTCTGTCCAATTTCTTCTCTGATTTTCTGTTGCTACATTTAGTATGTTTTTTTTTACAGTGAAAGCATATTTTGGGATTGCATAACATATATGATTGTTCATGGCTAGATTTTGAAATAGAAATCTACAACCTTAATTTTGAACTGCTAACTATTCATTTCCTTCCTTAAAACAGATTAAAATAAGCTGTTTTAAACAAATTTCTGAATTTATATCTTTCCCTTTTACATTTTAATTTTTGTATTGACAGAAATAGAACTAAATATTGAATAAAAATACTATCCTGAGGAGTTAAATGAACTAATAGGCAGTTAGGTCAGTCTGTGTCTGAATGAGTAAAAGGAGAATCTCTTTAAGAGTTTGCAAATGCTTGCTTCTCCCCAAAAGTTACCTTATCAAGGTAAAAGTGCGATTTGATCCCACTCCTGAGTTTCCAGTTTAACACAAGAATAGCAAGGAAGTAGTGATTCTATCCTTCTGTTTTGGATTATCAGAGAATAGAAAGGAGAAGTTACCAATCACATATTTCTGATGGCTTTTTGTTTTATCATGAGCAAACTAGACACAATATACAGGATTACAAATCCAGCTTTTTGGTGGGTTTTGTCCCCTACTCTGATGGATTGTTAGCTGATATTCTGTTCCCCCAACTTCTCCCAAAAAGAGAATTGTGCTTAACAGACTCGATCTTCACAGTTTCTTGGTTCTGCCTCTCTTGGAATGGCATGAGGTTTCTAATAAATCTTGATTTGCTCACTGCCTTGTCTGAATGGAAATTCTTCTTTCACTTGAGGATAGGACCAAGGTTGCCTTTCTTCCCGGCTGTTTTACCAGTAATATCTGTTGTTTGGTATAAGTGAAAACCAATAAAAGGCAAAACAAATAATTTATGGGGAAATTCAAATTGGAATAATTATAGCCTATCCTATTTCTTCACTTGTCATATTGTTTCATGATTTTAGATTTTATTTTTTCATTTTTGTTTGCTTTTGTCTTATAACTGTCATTTGTTATCAAAAGGGAAAGTAGCTCTGCAATGTAAAAATTTCTGAGGGAAAATGTTCTAACAACCTAGTAATGAGGAATTTCTTCTTTAATCACTCTCATT